CCATGTCCCTCATTATCTTCTGTATATTTATGTCAGAATCTTCCTCTGTTCCATGTCACGTCGTCCCTCTAGGCTGCGTTTCATAGCGTGCCTCCCCCTAAGGTTAGTTTAGCTTTTTTTTTTTTTTCAGTTTAGTTTTGTACCTTTGAACCATCTTTCCCTTTCAGCAATAAAGATGTGCTTTTTGAGTTCATATCCTGCTCTGTGAGTTTTGGGTCCTTTTTCCTGCCTTCACAAAGCCGTAACATGACAGAACGACGCGACCAGACATGGGCCCAGCAGCTCACAACCCCTCCGCTGAGCGGACCTAGTTTATACGGTGGAAAATCTTTGCCAAGGGTGGGTAGCACTGCCAGACCCCGAATACCAGGAGGTTTTAGCCACTCGCCTACAGAGGATGGTTTCCGGCGTTCTGACAAACCATCCTACTTTGGCAAAACGTCCTACCATAAGTTTATGCACATTTCTGCTGTCACAGAGTAATTCCAGCACAAATTTAAGTAGGTATGACAGTTTGCAACTTAACTTTGCCCATCAGAATATGTTTGTAGGTCACATCCACAAAGGTAGGATTGTTTGGCACTAAATATTACACGTCAGAGTATTTTTCTAGCTAATATTCACAAAGGCAGGACGGTTCGCCACTTAATTTCATGTTGTGCGTATGCGCAGACACAACGGGTAGGATGGACTTTGTCCTTAATGGGAGAGTGACTGTTCAGCGTTGGTGCATTCGGATACCGGACATCATGATAACACACCCGTCATGAGTAAAGCCGTGTTTTCCTCTGTGGATTACATTCTGCCAAAATAACTGATTCACACACTAAATGTTCACTTCACTCGATTCCTCAGTTTTCGCTCCTAATGTAGCCCAGTGAGTTCTGTGCCTCTGATCCAGCGGAGTATACACCTAGTGTTTTGCTTGAGCCAATTAACACTGAGCCAGTTTGTATTTCGCTGCTGACAGATACTATGCTTCCCTCCGGCGACAATCCCTCTACGGACTGTTTCGTTTCCATTTAAACTTGGAATATTCAGAAACATTGCATTTCTGCGCTAGACAGTGTGGGTCAGGATCTCGTTGCTGAACCCAGTGTTTTCTATCCTAAAGGTTTCTGAGCACTATACAGATGTCAGTGAATGTGGTGTGTGTGTGAGGCTGACCAACAAGCTAGCGAAATTATCACTTCGGATCTTCGAAGAGACTTTCATGTTTTCACATGTGTGGACTATGTAGTTCCTGGTACATCCTGTTCCCATGGACTGTTTAATTTTCCAGCCAGACTCTATTAATGCTTTTCAGGCTATACCACAGGAGAGTATTGTTGATGTTGCCTAACCTGTGTACGGTGCAGCCTCTTAACCAGGAGATACTGAGGCTGCCTGTGTTAAGACTCCAGCTTCTATAAAGATTACAAGCCCAGAGTCTATTCTGAGACTGTTTCTGTTTTTCCTAGTGGACTGTTTCAAACTGTACATTCGGTGCCTGCTAAGGTTATGAGCAACAAGATTTTGTCTGCTATACATAGACTGGCAAAAGAATTTGGTTTGGGCACTGCAGAGTTGGTTGACAAGGTTAACTTTTCTGTTCCCCGGTCATGTCAGTTTAACTCTGTGCACCATGCTTTTCAGCCAGTTGTCCTGGTCCCTGTGTGTCCTAACTCTCTGGCTGTGCTTTGTAAGATAGAGTTTAGTGTGGCTTCACACCCAGTTTATTCAGACACTGTTTGTGTGAACTCTCCAGCACCAGTGACTGCTCCTGAACTCACTTCTTCAAAGACTATTAACAATAACCTGGACAGCACAAAGCCAGCAGAGTTACTAAATATAGCAGGCCTTAAATCTTAGTTTGCTAATACTGTGTTTGACTCCACTAACCTGGCTTTCCCAGTGACTGTTACAACTCATGAGCTCCGCTCTCCACCTCCAACTCCTGCTCCGAGTGTGGCTCGGGTCTAGCTTTTCCTTGCACCCGTACCAGTTACTCGGGTGGGGATGGCAGAGGCCCGGCTGGCCCCTGCTCCAGTCCCCAGGCTGGCCGAGGCTCCATTCATCCCTGCACCCGTACCTGTTCCTTGGGTGGGGATAGCTGACGCCCAGTCTATGCCTGTGACTGTTCCAGGTTCCCGGGTGAAGACAATTGTGACCTTGCCGGCTCATGCACCCATTCCAGTTCCTCGGGTGCATGAGCCGGAAGAGGTCCAGTTAGCTCCTGCACCCACACCAGCTCGCAGGGTAAAGGCAGCCAGAACCAGGCTTGTCCCTGCACCTGTATCTGTTCCTCGGGTGTGGATGGCTGGAGTTCGGCCAGACCCAGTACCAGTTCCTGCTCCCCGGAGGAAAGCAGCTAAGAGTCAGTTATCTGCTCAGTCACTAGCCCTGCTACCTGCACATCCATCATCACTACAACCACCATCCCAACCACCACTATACCTTGCATGTTCGTCCCTGGTACACTCATTTCAGTTATTGACCCTTCCTTAGTTCAGTTCTTTCACGGACGTTTTGAGTTTGGTTTTGGATTGTTTCCTGAGCCTCAGCACTGTTGTGGGCGCTTTGGTTTGAACTCTTGTTTCCCGTTTGTTTTGGACCCTGGCTCCTTGTTGTTTTGTGTTTGTTTCGGTGAGGTGTTAATCGCTTCTCCTTACCTCATGTATACTACACAATGCACGATACATGATTAGGACAAAACTCGGGCCGATCTCCCAAAATGGTTGCATACCTGAAAAATCACCTCAAAAAGGACCAAAAATCACACAGTGTATGCCCAGCTTAACAGTAAATACACCCCTGCCAGTGGCAGACGCCCTCAG